CTACCCAGGGTGACAGCTTGAGGCTCTGTCTCAAAAAAAAAAAAAAAAAAAAAATCATTCTACTTAATCTGGATACACCTGATATTAAAATTGGAGAAAATATATTATTATAAAGGGGAAATTACAAATATATTTCACCTATAAATGAGGATGCAATATGATAAATAACATGTTAACATGTTGAATTAAAAATTAATGTTTAAGTAATTACTTTGGTCAAAATTAAATACTATAGTGACTAATTCTCATATAAATTGTACTTTGTATTAATCTAAGATTTTCCACAGAAAAAGTAACTGCTTACCGATTGTTTATTTTAATTGCAGCTCAGTGTGATTACAGTGCAGAGAAGAAAAGCAGCCTCCATGATGAATCTGGAAAATATTTAAAAATATTCATAGTTCACTCACAGAACATTAGAGTTGGGAAAGCAGTTGGACTAAGTGTATTCAAGTGGTAAAACCTGCAGGGAATGGTTAAGGCCTGTGTCATTTTGCATAAGCATTTTGCATTCTGTTTTGAGGGTTATTGGAAAACAGAACAGTGACAGCTTCCTGTAAGTAAAGAAAATATAATGCTTTATTGCGCTTCACTGGAGAATAAAGCCAGCTGAGAAGAACTTACTACCTTCATCAATGTGTCTGTTTTTTTAATTCCTCTTTTTTCTCCCTTGGAAGAACATCATAATTTTCAAACTATGCTAATTTCGATTTCATATTAAAGAGTTTTTAAGAAAAATTCTAGAATTTGATATTTAAAGTTTTAAGATTTGAGATTTTACATCTAATTGTTACTCCTAACTCATTTTAAAAGTTTCTAAGTATCCATTTTTGAACTCATAAATGCAATAAATTATGCACTTTCTAAAATGATGCTGTCATGTATTTTAATGTATAATTGTAGCAATTCATTTTAACTTACATGGTTTCCAGTATTCATAGAACTTGATATATAAGAATTTGAAAGGATTTTTTAAAATATATTACTCAAAGGAGTACTAAAATGGAAATCTTAGATTCTGAGAATGCTTGGCATTAAACTATTGTGGTCCTATTGATCTTAATAGATCTATGTAGTTACTCTCTGTTCCTGATTTGAACTTGGTTCAGCCTGGTTTCTGGTAATCAGCATAGATAGGTTTGATCTGGATAACCAGTTAGGAAACTGTTTTCAGTTGTCCAGATAAAAGATAATGAGTTGGAGTTAGAGGAACTTGGAAACATCAGTGGGAAGTTTAGGATTTATGGTAATAAACTGGGTAACTGGGGAAGTTAGTCAGCAGTTTTTGTCATGGAGCTGAGAATTGAAGCCGAGAAGTATTGGAGCCTGCCTTGGGGCCTTGTGCAATGTGGCTAGCTACCTCTTCGGTCTCTCCCATCCCTCCCTCTATGTCTTGTGCTCTAACTTTGATGACCACCTTTTATATTCGTCAATATGTCATTGTCCCTCCCAACACAAAGATATCAGCCTGTATTTTCCCATTTATGTATTCTTCAGATCTCTACTCAAGCATCACTTTCTAGAAGGAGGCTTTCCTGAGTTAGCTTAGGTCCCCATGTTATAGTGCCATTAATAGTGTGCTGTCTTTTTCCTTCATAGTTCTTACCAAAATTTGTAATTAACTTTTTGAAACTTTTTCTTTAATGTTATCTCCTCCCCAGCAGACTGCAGGCTTCCTTAGAGAGTCATGTCTACTCTCACTTATCGTTGTATCCTTAACACCTGACACACAGAGAGTTTTCAGTAACTATTCATTCAAAAACTTGAGTGTTTGGCGAAGCATGGGGGCTCGTGCCTGCAATCCTAGCACTCTGGGGGGAAGGTGGGAAGATCCCTTGAGCCTGAACAAGAGCAAGACCCCATCTCTACTAAAAATAGAAAAATTAGCCAAGCACGGTGACTGGCACCTGTAGTCTCAGCTACTTGGCAGGCTGAAACAGGAGGAGTATATCTCACAGGCTCACAGCAGCAATCACACCATTGCACTCTAGCTCGGGCAAAAGAGTAAAACCCTGTCTCAAAAACAAAACAAAACAAACAAACAAAAAATGAATGTTTAAGGACAGGACCTTAGGGAATGTCTTTATTTGTTGAATGAGCTCAGGAACAGGAGTCATTGTAGGAGACTGAAATAGAAGCAATGAGAAGGTTGTAGTAAAGAGAATCCAACCTGAGAAAACATTCAAGGAAGGGGCAAATGGTTGCTAGTGTCAAATGCAGTGAGACTAAATAGTACAAATGAGGCAGTTAAATGGTAGTCAGATAAGAGGCACTTATGTGAGTTATATTATATTCGTGTTTATGTTATGAGTTCTGTTGTATTCATGTTTATAGAATATAGGATTTATTTTTTAAAAATTTAGAGATGTTATAATTCTCTATAATTCTCTGACATAAATGAGACTGTACAAGAAAGCACTCGAGAAACTATAATCCTAGACAAATGGAATATAAGTATTATTATCTTTTTTCAAAAAGAAAACCTAACCTTTCAAACTTACTTCTTCAAGATAAATCTCTGAACATAGCTACTTTCTTCAAACTTGGGCTACAGGCAACTAATCCTAACATTCTGATATTAATAACCCCTCTTTCCAATTTGATCTCCTTCTTGAATACTTAGATATTCTCCAAGAGAAGAATAGGCTACAAATATTCAGATAATATGCCTTTCTGGTCTCTGCTGAATTTGAACAGAATCAAGCTTTATTTAACAATGTATGGTTATTTTTATTTCAGAAAAGCTTGTTAATAATTTTTTTTATTTTTCTTATACATGTGTATATTAGGTTTCCACTTTTGCCTTCACAGAATTAAAAAGGCTAAATTTAATGACAATAACAATGTTTAACATAAGGACTGAGAACAAATCATCATTTCTCAATAATGTCTAATGTCCAAGTGTAGTGAGTGGAGTTTTTAGCATTTCTCTATTGGGCAGTCTTGTCTTCCTGTACACAGACAGTATCATTTATTCTGTGAACTGTGGTTTACGACACAGGAGAAGTGAGTAGGAAAGAGACGAAAGAAATTATGTAAATCTGAAGTTAAGGACAACACAGCTAGTTCATTTTATTTATTCGTGTTTCTTTATTGTGTCTCCCTGAGGAAGAAAAGAGATATGATTACCTCTTCTTCCTTCTTCTTTGCGTACAAATATGCAAATTGGGGCAGGCAACAATCTTCTCATTTCTCCTCTGGTGTGAAAACTATACCCCACAAATGGGTGTGATTTCAAGTAATTCTCTTTAACTTGCCAAGCAATGTTAGTATATAGGGAAGATTAAGTCATTCTTTCAGTTCTTGATAGCTGTGTTGTTTCTCTGATCATATATGCATATATTTATCAGTAAATATGTGTAATGTTACATACATAGTTGTATGTGTGACTAAATCAACTAATTCACTTCTCCCTAGAGTAAGGCAGAGACTGACATAAGCAGACTACTGCTTAATACTTATTAGGTTATACTCATAATCTTTTAACCAGTACATTAATTAACATGTTTTAAGCCAAGATTACTATTTTATAGGAATTCATTGAACATCTATATTCATTCTCATGTATAGCCTTAAGTATACTCAAAAACATGTGTATTATTATACATGAACAATTTTTGTCTTCTGACTCAGAGCTTAATCCCAGATGGGCTGGAATTGACTCACTGCTCTACCACCCACTAACTGACCTTAAGCAAATTACCTACTTTTTCTGTGCCTCAGTTTCCTCATCTGCAAGTTGCAGATTAATAGTGCCTACTTCACTTGTTACAAGGATTAAACTAATTAATATAATGTAGCATACAGACAAGTGCCTGCCACTTGATAAGTGCTTCGTAATTATCTGCAAAAGTCCAGAGGTTCCCCCAAAGACTATAATGGCAAAGTCAATTTTTATTTCAGAAGATATCACTATGGAGACAGCATTGACAAGGTTGCAACTAATTGGGGTAAGAAGGGATTAATTTCAGCAAGACAAGTGAAGAAAACCAGATTAAGAAGCTGCTGCAGTAATCCAGGCAAGAAAGGAAGAGGCCTAAATTATATGGCAAGTGGTAGTACAATCAGGAGAAACAAAAAACATTGGGCTAAAAGAAAAAAATACATGGGGGTAATATTGGTATAATACATAGACCTTGGTCACTGTTTGGCTGTGAGAGTTGAAGAAAGGAGTCACAAAGGACTCCCAGGGTTTAGACTGGAATGGCATTCTCTAAAATAGGATATAGAATGAGTTTCAAAATCTCAAGTACCTGCATACATCCAAGAGGAAGTGCCCAGTAAGAAGTCGATTGGAACTCAGGAAAAGCTGGATTCAGAGATATCAGACTGACTAGCAGAGAACAGTTCAAGTCAAGGAAATAGATAACATTAGATTTGTTTTTATCCTTTTTCAGTGACCAGAATCAGACCTCTTCTCTTTTACCTCAGACTAGAAAACATCATCTAATACAGCTCTGAGCATTAAAGAGAAATCATACTGAAGATTTTAACCATGAAGTTAATTGCAGAGTTTGTTGCAGATGGCAAATGTTTCAAAGGTAGAAACCATTTTCTAGGTGACTGGGGTGAAAACGACCAGGAGTCCCTGGTGCCACATTTCCCATCACAGATTGCAGAATTGCCAATGATAGGTCCTTCCTTTGGCTCTTGGGGACTTAATTTCCCTTGGGAACTATTGTGGTTATTCAACTTTAAGACCGTGTAGGAAGAATCACAGTTATTTCTCTCTAGGGTCTTACTCAGAGCAAGTAATATGGAAGTAAATAGTCACTACGGAGAAATGAGGAGAAATAAATATGCTTTTTGCAAAATGTATGAACAATTCATGTTTAAAAAACCAACCAACCTCTGGCCAAATTTTACAAAAGTTATAAATTTAGACCAGGACAGCTACCCTGATGCGGCTCCTGATAACTGTATCTACATGACAGTGTGGACTCCACTTTTTACTGTTCCCAACCTAAGAAGAAAGAAAGGTACTTTTCACTGTATGCTAATTTCTGCATGCAGTGGTTATATAAAAGACTATTTGAGGCGGGCGAACTCAGAACTAGAAATTAGAATGAGGATATAGTCCCAGTTTTGCCTAATGTTGTGATCTTGGACAACTCCTCTTTGTAGAATGCAGATAATCTCTCTTTTTTGCCTTTGTGTTTCAGAGTTCTGTGATCACAAGAAAGCATTTAATGAAACTCCTCTTTGAAAAATTATTTTTTAAGGCACCAAATAAATACAGCATTCTCATCATTCAGGAGTAACTTGGTTTTTTTTGCCTTAGAAGGCTTGTCAGTTAAAATAGTGTCGCAAGTATCAATATCTTGTTCTTAGTAATACAATAGCCCACCACCTGCTGAGGGCCTAATACATGTTCTGTATGAAGTACTCTATGAATCTATTTAAATATCACAACAATCCCAATAAGACATCAAGATGTGACCCTCTTTTTACAGATGGGAAAACTGATAAAGGTAAAGTGACTTCACTGTGGGTCTCATAGCTAGTAAACTATTGTTCAGCCTTTGAACATAGGTCTCTCTAACTCAGTGGTTCTCAACCTTCCTAATGCCGTAGCCCTTCAATACAGTTCCTGTGGGTCACGACCCACAGGTGAGAACCGC